GCTTGGAGGCAAGTGCCCTTCACCTAATGAACCAGCTATCCAACCCTAAAATTTTATTTGTAAAAGGGCAAAGTGTGTTGGTGATGCTTATCTGTTCTCTATTCTCTTTTCTTAGGTCATAATTTTTGCCTTAAACTGTCAGTGTCAGGAAATCTGACTTTGTAATTGAGAACAAAATTGATTTCTTTCTGCACTCTTAGAGGAAGAAATGCCCAGGACTATTGGAGTTCCAGCCCCTGTCTCACCATCCTGTACTGTCTGGTCCTTCCAGAGTGACTCATTCTGGCATTCTTCACTAAACAGGGCCTGCTTGCTGGCAGCTGAGGTCCTTCACAGTGTTTAAGCTACAGCAAGGTTTAATGCCAAACTCTACAATTGAGTTGCTCTGTTATCTTGCTAGAGGATTAACACCTCTATTGGTCTGATGGAGAAATGACTCAAAAATCCCCCTTGGCAAGCTCTTGCTTTATCAAAACCCACTTCAGTCTCACCCACTTAGCAGTCCACAGCATTGCCTGTGTTCACTGAATCATTTAGATCCAGCCTGTGCTCACTCCCAAGACTAGGCAGCAATGATTCAACCACCATCTCCATTCCCAGTGCCCAGTCTGGTACGGATGCAGTCAGATGTTCACGTACCCATACTTGGCTCATCATTCTCATCTCCTGGGGTCAGAAGGGCCCCACATTTCACTTTTGTATCTTTACTAGCCACTTTTCTCACTGTGACAGAATGCCTGATAGAAGCAACCAACAGGAGAAGTTTATTTTAGCTCAAGGTTTGAGGAGAGCTGACCCATCTTGCCAGGGAAGACATGGGTGTAGGTCGCTACTTTGTGGCACAGGCTTCTCTGGATGAATCTGTGAAATGGGTGGCTCTGTGGTGGTGGCATGAGGCCGCTTACTCATCGATCTCAGTGCACCATGAAGCAGAAAAGGAGGAATGCCAACTAACGTTCAGCTCACTTTCCCTCTCTTCCTCTTTTATTCATTTCTGGACCCCAGTCCCTGGGATGGCATGGTATCATCCACATTCATCAGTTAATACTTTCCAGAAAAGCTCTCAGTCACCTTCAGAGGTGGGCTTCACTAATGCCCTAGGCATTCCTTAATCCAATCAAGTTGATAATGGAAATTAGCCATTCACACTGCCTCCAACCAATTGTCCTTACAGGAGAGTAAGAAATGGTTTTGCAAAGACCCTCCCAATCCCACCTTTACCCTCCCACCGTCATCCCCATGGGGATGGGCAGTAGGTTTGGGGGGAGATGAGCTCCATTTGAACAAGTTTATGCTTATATAATTGAAAATCAAAGAGATGTTAGACACAGGAGTCTAGTCAAGAAAGGTTGGGCTGGAAATAGGAAGATAGCAGCTATATTGAAAGGCAGACACTGGTTGGAATCACTAAATGATCTAAATACAGATGTGTGGAAGAAAGGCCAAGGGCTCAGGTCTGGACACTCCAACACTTTGAGAATAGAGAGGTGAAAAGGAGAAATAGTGGTGAGAAGAATGTGAGGAAGGCTGAGCTGGTTGGCACCCTGGAGGCCTACAGAGCGCAGAGGGGCTCATGGACATCAAATGATGCTGGCTGAGAGGAGACCTGAGAAATAATCATTACTGTTGTGGAGGTCGTCCAATGTGCAAAATTCACAGAAGGGCAGCTCCAGGGGAGTGTCTGGGGATACACTTGACTGGGAGTGGGCTCAAGGCAATAACAGACCATGCGTCCCAGACTCTGCTACAAGTGGAGGGAGAAAAAGGGGTGGACTGTCAGGAAAGGAGTCTGGTTTTTTGTTTTAGTTCTATCATGAGCATCATTCTTTGAATGTATAGAATGTAACAGCGTGTATTTTTGCTTGCAGGAATAATCCAGAAGAGATGTGAAAATAGACCATGCAATGAAGTCAGAGCTGTGTGTGAACAAAGAGAAGGAATGGGAGTGAGAACCAGAGCAGGGCCTTTGCTAGGAACACAGATAGTCCGTTCTCAGAGAGGAGAGCAGGGTAGATGTGGTGGTGGGAGGTTTGGAAGGGTTTGTCAGATAGCTTCCATATTCTCAGTGGAGTAAGGAGCAAGATCTATCAACATCAGTTTGGAAAACAGGAAAGATTCTTAAGCAGAAAGATTAATGGAAGGACTCACAAGTGGGGTGTTACCTGTAAGAGGACCACTGATTTGTTGGTGTGCCCCTGTGAGCACTGAACAAGAGCCACCCCAGATGATGCTGGGGCGGGAGCCTGTGGCTGTCTGCATGCAGCTGCTATTGCCAGGGCCACAGTCAGAGTAACTTTTTTCTCCTGCCCCCTGCTCTGCACCTGTACCTGCCCTGGGTGTAACCTGACCTGCAAACGCTCTAGGGAATGTAGTTATGGCAATTTAAACATCAGTGGTTATGAGCACTGGCTGTTCTTGCAGAAGGCAGGGGTTTGAATCCATTCTAGTTCCAGGGGATCTGACACCCTCTTCTGTCCTCTGTGGGCATTGCATGACATGGGTGCACTTATATGCATGCAGACATAACACTCATACACATAAAATAAGAAAATAAACAAATAAGTAAATAAATAAATAAATAATAGGAAATGTCTTCTGAAGGCTCATCTGTTCAAGGCTTTGTCCCCAGGGCAGGGTCTGGTTAGAAGCAGCAGGTCAAGGACGGGTGTGCTTTCGAAGGATACATTTTATGCTCATCTCTACTTCTGGTTGCCATGAACTGAGCATCTCTACTCCACTATGCCCTCTGTCATAATGCTCCACCTCACCACAGACCTAGAAACAATGGAGCCAGTTCACCAAAGATGAAAATCTCTGAAACCAAAGCCAAAATAATTTTTCCTCCCTTTAAGTTGTTTATGTCAGCTATTTAATCATATTGATGAAAAGCTAGCTGGTGAGAGTTTTGAGACTCCATGCCCCAAAAGACTTGAAGGGTCTTAGAAGGCTGGGAATAGAATCAAGTAGTGCAAACCATACAAGATAGGCTCGTGTTTAGAACACTTGGTTCCCAGATGGCAGTGCTACTTGGGGAGGCTGTGGAACTCTTAGGAGGTGGGATCTATATTTTGCCTGAAAATTTGAATGAGGCTGAATTCAAACAATGAGTTTATTAATTTGGCAGGGGAAATTGCAGGACAGTATAAAAGTAAGGCATGGTTATTGTCAAGTGTTTTAGGTAAGGTTACAATGAGAACTGGGAGGAAAAAACAGCAGAAAGTTGTGAAAAACATGTAGTTGAGTCAGAAAAGGAATGCAAGCATGTTCAAAGTGGCAAAGTGCCTTTGGTTATTAAAGAGAAGCTAAGCAAATTCAACTAAGGTACAGGAAATATGCCTGGAGGGCATTTCAGGAACTGGTGAGGTCTGGAATAAAACTGAAAACTCATTTGAAAGATTTTCCTTTAAGAAGAGGGTGCCCTGGTGCTTCATTCACAGAGGGCCACATAGGGAAGTGTTCTCCCGAGTTCGGCCACCACCTGGGCACTCAGAGGCCACAGCCATGGGGACCTGACTGCTATACCAGCTGGTGGCAGAATGTAGTGTCTGTTCATGTTCATGTGGTGTTGACTTCGTAGGGACATAGAAGGCAAGATTTATGAAGTCAAAGAAGCTTTTGCCCAGATTTTTTTAAAACACGTTACTTTTTATTTTGATTTACATGCCATGTAATTTCACAAACAGTTGAGAATACTATTTTTAAAATGTCTGCTTCCACAAAGATTTCCCAAATATTTTCTGTAATACTTGTAGATTACAAGTATTATTTGTAATGCTTTTGTAGATTTGTTTTTGTTTTTATTTTTATTTTTTTATTAGAAGCAGCATTTCATTAAAGCTTTAATGAACTCGATAACAATTTCCAGAGCAAAGATACATCTCTTTCAAAAGTGGCTATAAAATTTTTAGGTTCACAGTTGAATTAATACAGTTATACAATATTGAACTCAGTATAAACCCTGTAAATCCTTGGAGCTACGCAATGTGTAGCAGGCCAGAACCCTGAAGAGAGCCCCGACAAGGTCATTCCTGGTAAAACCTAATTTAAGGTAGAAACCCCAGGATGTTGGCAATGCCAGGAACATGGTATGTCTGCAGAGGAAAGCTGCAGGCACCAACTGGACCAGTCCAAGAGCGAGAGCATGTATGCTTCAAATAGCACGGCCATAGCACCATGTGCCTGATGCTAGACATAGAGGTGCAGGGATTAACGTCTGCTCTGCTGGCTGTCAGTCTTACTTTGGTCTCATCTTTCCTTTCTATGGCTCAACCCTCCCTTTCAGAATGAGAACATTTACTCTGTGTATGTCTTCCTTTTTTATTTCTCACAATGAGAATTCGCCTTTAGTCTCAGAAGAGACTTCAAACTTAACATTTTTTGAACAATGTTGAGACTGTTAGGACTTCGGGGACACTTGAAGTTGGACTATATGTATTTTGTTATCAGATGATCATGAACCTTTGGGGGTCAGGAGCAGCATATTATGAATAGGACCTGAAGTGCCCCCCATTGCTCACATTTGGAGGGCTTGTTTCCCAGTTGGTGGAGTTGGGTTGGCTGGTGTTAGCAGGCTACTAAGAGTGTTCTACCCAGCTCCTAGTTTGTGTTCCATTCTCTGCTTCCTGCTGCCCTGTGATGCGAATAGCCTCTGCCATGTGCTCCTAATAACCATGATCTGAGATGCTCCACCACATCTTCTCTGACATGATCAATGGAAGCATAAAGAAAAATCTTTCCTCTCTTAAGTTGTCTCCATCGGGTTTGTGGTCTCAGCAAAACAAAAATAATGCAACTGTCATCTGAGACTGAGGATGGGGGAAAGGTATTGGAGATCTAGGGAGAGATGATATCATGCAGTAACCATGCATTTGCCTAGGAGTTGTAATGCTACACTAGAAGTAAGTGAATGTGAATCTAAGTTAGACCACTCAGCATGGCTGTGTGCTGTCCAGGCACTAAGTATGTATATGGTTTAATCAAGAGAGTTCTCTGAAACAAAGATGGGCAAGAGAAATAAGGGTGTGTTTCAAAAGTGTGACTATGATAATTGGCCACAGACTCTGTTCTGGGTAAGGGGCTTAGGGAATAGAGGACAAGAGTCTATGATAGAAGCACCCAGAGTTTAATGGGTGGGAGTGACATGAGGGAAGGGTAGATGACAGAATGCTCATATACTAATTCCTATTGGCTCCACAAGCTCAAGAACCAGATCCAGCCAGCCCAGCACTGTATTCCTGACATCTAGACTTCTTCCTAGCAGCTAGTAAGAGCCGATAAATATTTGTCACATAAATTATCAATTGGATGAATGGATGGATGTTGCTGTGCTGTATCTCCTACTAGGTAGCCAGTCCCATCCTGAAGGACAAGGGCATGTCTGAGTCGCTCATTCCTGTTCCTTCAGTACTATCATAATGCCAAGCACATTGCAAATTCTCAAATACATTTGTTAGTACAACAAGAATTGAGTCAATTTGAAAGATAAGAAAAACAAACCCAGCGAACAAAAGATTATGTCATTAAAAATATAGGAACACAGGTTCGATTCCCAGCACCCACATGGCAGCTACGAACTGTCCTTAACTCTAGTTCCAGGGGAATCTGATGCCCTCTTCTGACCTCCGCGGCATTAAGGTCTGGTGGCAAATAATAAGACAGGAAAACATTTAAGTTCAAATTCAGTCACAGCAGTGTTACAGTTGCCAGTTTAGGTAAAATGAGTAAACAGGAATGTTTGCAGCTCTAGGCTCACAGGGGCCCTTGTTGGTGTACGAACTGTGCTGATGACAGTGAGGGAAACTTAACCTAAAGTCCAGCTCAGGTTAGGACCTGAGAGTTGAAGGAAGAACGATCTCCCAAACTCTAAACCTACACATAGCCATCATGCAGGTGTGTTGTCATCCACACTGTCCTCCAAGAGCCAGAGAGCCAGGTCTGACCCCAAGGGGGCTGCATGTGCTGAGGAAGCACGGAAGGGCCGGGGCAGACACCAGCACATGCTCATTTGCTTAACTGGGAAGGCCTGTCGTGGACAAAATCATGAAGTTGACAGTGCCATTTCATGAACTCTCAGAACCCTGGCTTCTGGCTCCCACCCAAGTCTTAGATCTGCCTTCTTTAATGTGAGGCTAAATCCTCTAACACTTCCTCCTGCCCCCTTCAAAACTGTTTATAGTTAGAATAGATTGCAAATTCATGCTAAGTCAAACATCTCATTTTCCTCAGTTGGCAGAAAGCTCTTTTAGGGAAAGATTTTGTCTTGTTCAGCTTTAAGTCCTTCCTGGCACCCAGGGCCTGTTCTGTAGAAGATGCTCAAAGAATATTTGTTCAAGGAATGAGTGAATTCATGGCAGGGCATGTGAATGTATCACTTCTCACACAGATCAAGGTCAGACCTCAAAAGACGATGTTTTGAATAACTTGTTCCTTCATTAGGATGCCACCTCATACATCCTGGAAAGACTATAACCTAAACATAACACGTGTCGGTGAGGATGTGGAGAAACTAAAGCCCTCTGTGTTGCTGGTCGTAAAGTTGCTCAGCAGCTGTGGAGAACAGTTTGATGGCATGCATCTCAAGAAGTTAAACATAAAATTACTTCATGATGCAGCAATTCCATTCCTGGGTATGAACCCAAGATAATCAAAAGCAGGTGCCCTAGCAAGCATATGTGCACATGCATTTATAACAGCACTATGCACAAACGCAAAAAGGCACAAGTAATCAAAATACCTATCGTCAGATGAGTAGGCTGTGATGTACATACCAAGGAATATCAACTGCAGAAAGAAATGAAGTACTCATAGATGTTACAGCGTGGATGAGCCTTGAAAAATATACTAAGTGGGAAAGACTCTAATGTGAAAAGTGAAACTGCAGGATCCCAATTATACGAAACATCAGAATCAGTAAACCTTTGCAGACAGGAAGCAGATCCACAGATACGAGAGGATAACGGATCGAAGGAGGAGGAGCAATTCCTTCTGAGGACATGGAAACAGGGATATAAAACAAGTGACACGTGCATGAAGAAGGCCGTACACACTGCTCATACCACTCTGGGAATTGCTGATTCAAAGCAAACCAAATATGAGGGCAGGACAGTGTTGGTGTCCATATGACAGGCTGGTTCGGAGAGTGTTTGTGGCTGTGTGGTGCGCTGGTTAGGGATTTGCATCCTGCCCTTGCTGAGGGACTGGGGAGTGGTGTACATGAACACATAGGAAAAACCTCACTGATGACTACTCAGGTCTGCAGAGGCGAAAAGACAGCTACACTTGTACCATTACAGGGGTCAACATAAAGTCTGCATGCAGAATGAAGCCGGATAGTGTGAAACACAGATGAAGTTTCTGGCCTGCAGCAGGGAGTAAGTACATTAAGGGGATCAAAGCACTCTTAACAAACACCAAGCAGGACCAGAGATCCGGCAAAGGAGTCCTGCCCTTGCCAAAGGTTCCAGGATGCAAGATAAAAGGCAAACAGCTTTGCAGACACCTGGCTTTCCTGTTCTTTTCCTTCACCCCCTACCCTCAAGTCCACAGACAAAAATATTAATGATGCCTCTCGGGTATCGTTAATTGAACTATAACTGGAAATAGAAAGAGGGCCATTCTGTTCAGATTTTTAATTACCTTCCTTGTTCACATTGTCATCAAATAATTGATTCCATTGTTTGCCATTGACTTAGACAAGTATTTGCTCTATACTGACTGTTAGCCAGACACTATTAAGTATTCCGAGAGATATAAAGATGGATAGTATGTACTGGAGAGATGGTTCAGCGGTTAAGAGCACTAACTTCTCTTGCAGAGGACCTGAGTTTGATCCCCAGCACCCACATGGCAGGTAACAATAGTCCATAACTCCAGTTCCAGGGGAATTTTACGTTCTTGTCTGACCTCCCAGGGCATTGCATGACACGGGTGCACTTACATTCATGCAGGCAATACACTCATACACATAAAAAATGCAAAAAATAAATAAAATATTTTAAAAGATGGCTAATATACCTTACATGAGATCCATACTCATCCACTTAGCATGTAGCTTTCCAAGTACCTCCTCTGTGAGTACCTACTGCTCCATATAGTTGATGTTTCAACTCTACCAGAAAATAAAACAAAGTCTCTAACCTTATGCAGTTGACAGTCAAATAACATTGGTGTGCAATTTAATGGCCTGATTATCCAACTACACGAACAGATATAGAGCACACACACACACACACACACACACACACAAGTTATAACACAGCAAGAGTTATAGACAGAGAACTATATTTCCAAATAAGATACCACATTTGCCTAGGAATGAAGAAGGAAGGCTGGAGAAAGGGAATGTTGTTCAAATTTGGTTTGCAGAAGGGAGAGAAGGAAGACACGGTGTGAAGAGTCTCCACATGATTCAGGGCCTAGAGTCAGGGAATCCCAGGCTACACAGAAATGTGGAGTGCCAGATGTAGTTAGCATCTGAGATAGACTAGGAAGACTCTGAAGACCAGGCAGAGGCCAGCAGTAGACAAGCATTTTGAGGACTAGAAGACTTTGGAAGGCTTGTAGGGATATGGTATGTAAGTCCAAAAAGAAGTGCTTTCTAGACTTTCTTGTGGCCAAGCACTGCCACTCAGTACAACTCCCTGGATTGAGTGGACTGTCTCTTCCTCTTTGTACATGGCTACTGGTCCTTGCAGAACTGGACCCAGATTTTTACCTGAGGCTAGATCATCATTTACTAGCAACTTAAATGCCAATATTTAACAAGCATTCGAACACTGTTATATTAATTCTATTTGCATGAGATTTTTTTTGTGTGTGAAGATGTTTCAACCTTACTCCATCACTCAACAGAGACTCTGATAAAAAGTGTGACCCAGAGACTGGTTCCACTAAACATTTGAAGAGAGGTTGAATGATTTTCCTCTAGATCCTGGTATAAAGAGACTCCTCATAGTAGATGTTGGGAAGTAGAGGCCAAGGAAGGTTAGGGATGGCTCATCTCTCCACAGCTCTCTGATTCCTTGAAGCTGTTTCTCTGCGTCTCTTTTCAGCATCCAGTCCTCTTTTGGTCTGCAATCCTACCAGAGGCCTATTACAGCTTTCTTCCAGACTGGAACCTCATGTGGAATTATATTTTGGTTTGATTTCTTTACTCCTTGCTCCTGGCCATAGTGCAAAAGGCGGGTCATCTGGCGGACTGGGATGAAAGACTCCTGCTCATCATTTTCAGGGAGGAAGACTCTAGCAAACTTAGTTGTTCACATGGTTATCCTAGAAACAGAAAACCATGGGTGGTGAAATAGAAGCTGAGTATGTGTCCTTCAGGATCTCTGCCTTTTATAATCTACAGCTTGATATAAACGAACTCCAAAGGGATGCACCATTGGGAGGAAATGCATAGTGCTGGAACCTTTGAAGTTTGGAGACTCAAGTGCAAATTTTAGCTGTGCAGTAGTAGGTTTGGTTAGTGTAGGGGTAAGAGTTGAATTTCATTGGCACAGTTAATCCTGACTATTGTCTCCATTTGAAAAATGATTCATTCAGTCACTGTTCCTCCTAACCCATGCATTTGGTAACAAGCAACTGAAATCATGACTGTGAAGGTAGTTTGTAAGTTCTAAGGCACTTTACGAATATATGTAAATATATTTCCTTTTAGTCTTCTTTAATCCATTTCACCAACTTGGTGTGGTTGAGGATGCAGCCTGTGTGTGGTGTTTGGAAGTACTGAGAACACCGGAGTTAGGAGTATGGTGTTAGCTCAGCCCTGTGTGATCTGCTAGTCTCCAATGTCTATCCATTTTATATCCCCATAGCCAAACTGCACTGACCCCTGTCAAGACTGAGCTGCCTGTCTTCTTTCCGCTGACCACTCTGGGAGTTGTGTCCTGAGTTATTGACACAATTCTTCTCTAAGAAGAAATTGTTGCCTAGTTCTGGCCTTACAGAATTCGAATTTGATCCAGGTAGCTAGGTTACCAGCAGTCAGGGCTTGAAAAAATACAATACATAAAAAGGCCTGAATTGGAACTTAAATTACTGTCTGAAGGTCAAAGTTTCCATGTCTCAGTAGCTCCAGGGCTGGTAGAAGGGTCCTTTATGGGGGGAAAAAAGTCACTGAAATGAAGGCTGGGAGGAGAGATAGGCCACACAGAAGAACAGAACACCAGAAAGTTCCTGGGACCTGAGGAAAGCCAGCTGGAGGCGGGCGGTATTGAGGGACAGAGGTCAGCTTGGTGACAGAGTCAAATATGGGATTAGGTTTTAGATGCTTTTCAATCAATCTAATCTTGTGGTTCAGTTTGGTTAAGTTTTATGAGATTTCTTCTAACTATCCTCCCTATTAGACCTTTTTTTTTTTACAAGTCAAGAAGTGGAAACTGTGAGCTCCTTGGTTATATATCAGAAGCATTTTGTGGATCTACTACTGACAACCCCTTGCCTAGTGGCTAAGGTCACGGGTGTGTGAGCCACAAAGACCCATTCATACCCATGTTTGCCTTGGAACCAGTGGAGCTATTGGGAGAAGGAAAATAGGTGTATTGAAGAAAAGTGATAAATGTAATCACATAAACTTGCTCCTTCCCCCATGGAGTCTAGATAGCGGTTAAATACTCCCAGAATCCTTATCATAGCAAGAGCTAAAAGGTCGGGGGCTATATAAATCAGATTTAGAAAATCAACAGAGCATGGAAAATCTTACTATGCAGGCAGTTGCATAAGGCCCAAGAGAGACAGCATGGAATGCCTTGTGAGTACATTTTCTAACTTCCAAAGTGGGTGATTATATTGAGTCAAAACAGCCAAAGAGGGCCAGTTTTCCCCAGGAACTCCTCAAACTCAAATAGAATTTCCAAACTATGGTTTAGCATGTAACCTTTCTGGTGGCAATTCTGTTTTTTGAAAATCTGAATGAAGGATGTTCTCTAATGGAAACAATAGCTAATTTCTAAAAGGGCAAGAATCTTTGATGGTTAGATTAGATACTCATATTTTAGGGTCTTGGTGTCAATAATTATTCACAAATTACGAGTGAAGGTAAGCTTTAGATATATTTCATAGATGACACCAACTTGAATAGTCTGTTTGTTGAGGTTTTTTTGAGACAAGGCTTCACTCTGTGGTCCAAGTTGTCTTGAACTTACTAGGCAGGTCAGACTAGACTCAGACATTCAGCAGTCCTCCTGTCCTGGCCTCTCAAGTGCTGGGGCTATCGGAGTACACCAGCACATTCAGCTTTCAGTGCTTTAATAAGGCTTTCTTGCCTTCTGCAGCTCACGTTTCTTGGGCCTTAAAAGTATATCTCACCTTTTGTTATTGAAGCTGGCCCTAGAATATTGCATGGATCTGGGGGAGATGGGGAGTTCCTGCCAATTTCACCTGGCACTTGGTGCACTTGAGCCAGGTGAGCTTTAACCTCTGGCTAGCCTGTCCCTGCCCCCCCCTCCATTCTTTCACTCACATTCTGATACCTGAAACTCCCTCAGTGGACAGGGCAAGCCACATGAAGAGGAAATGATTAGCTACAACTATTTTAAGACCTAGACACATCGGAACGTAATCTTTCCCAAAATAAGGTGGAAATGGTGGTGGATATGCTTTATTCTTGGGCAAGGTGAGGAAACCTGGAATGCCAGATTCCAGAAAGGCGGGGGTGGTGCAAGACCAGCTATGAGATCTGGGGTTTGAATGGAGAGCTGGGCCAGAGAGCATGCTCAGCAGTTGTGAGTAGAGAGGAAGGTGCAGAAAAAAGACTTCGGGTCTGAATTTTGTTGCATTTGTCTCAGAATGGTCCTGCTGTGTGTGCAGATCAGAGTCTATCAAGTTGCCTAAATTTAGTTCAGTTCTTGACAGTGGAAGTCACACAGGTTTCCCAGAGTGAATGATAAAACTTTGCCTTCTGAGCAGCCGGCACACCTCATTTGATAACACTGAACCATAATCTATTGACACACGATAGACCCCGACAGGAATGAGCAGTGGTGAAAATTATAGATCATTTTAAGAAGGCTTTGTCCCAGAAGGACTGTAAGATTCAAAAAATTGCATTGGCCTTTGTTCCATTTCAGATAACACCTTCCATCCTTGTGACCATCTTCCTAGTTCCATCTCTGGCCCTGTCGGTGAGTAGGGTGGAGAGGGCCCAGTTTGTCTAATTCTCCTGTAATAGAAGCATTTCAAAGTAGATAATCAAGGATGACATTCCTATCAGTTCTCATTACATACCCCTGAACCCTGAAGGGATGAACAAGCAGACACTCAGATCTGATGCCTTTTCTCACTGTTGCTTGGTCTTCCTTAGAACACAAGTAACAGCCACCTTCTGGATGGCTCTGTGGGAACCCAGACTGTCCATGTCGACGCCCTCCACCTTACAGTCAGCATCCAAGACAGCAATGTTTTGAGTGAATGGAATGGAATTGTGGACTACAAGAATGTAAGATGTGAAGCACACACATTACAATGCAAAGGAGCCTGGACTGGTCCAAATGGGAGTATAATACCTTTCCATCACAGTTTTTCTTTTCAGCTTTAACCCTTAGTGGGAACGTGTGCCTTTAGGCAGGGGATGGTTTTTCCGCAGCTGCAGTAACTTTGTTTTGGGCAAAGGAATGTAGGAGACACCTCTGTGTCCTATGTCTATAGAGCTCCTGCAGTCCTTTGTGTCCCTGTGACTGTTGACTTCACGTGGCCACCAAAGACTCACAACTAAGCAGGCCCTTTAGAGACCCCCAAATTATCGTAACTGGGATGTGCTATGCAAGTTATTTTATTTTGACTTTTATTGTTGATTGCTAAATAAATCTGGCTATAACCTGCCAACCCTCCAGTGATGATGTGTGATTAGGAAGGGAACCCCCATGCCCTGGCCAAGCTCTTTGATAAAAATGTCCTGAGACCAGAGATCTTACGTGCCTCAGCTGTCATACCAGCAGCTGCCTGGCTTAGCTACGGGGCTCTGAAGGTTGAAGTAAACACCACATTCTCCACTCTATCCTTTGCCACCCAGTCCCTCCCCACCTACCTCTGTCACATTCTCTTCAGCACACTGGACATCAGGATGGATACCTCATACACTGGTCCTCTCCACTCTCCCTGTGTCTGCCATGTTCTCTTCCATGAATACCCCATCTTCACCTCTCCCACTCCTTATTCCCTGAATCCTCCAAGTGGGCATGCAAAACCTTCCACAGTGGGCTCCTAGGTGATTCACAGAAAGGCGGAACTATTGCTAGAGGGCCACTAGGGGGCACTCAAAGGTGGAACTATTGCTAGAGGGCCACTAGGGGGCACTCAAAGGTGGAACTATTGCTAGAGGGCCACTAGGGAGCACTCAAAGGCAGAACCAATGCTAGAGGTTTCCCTTCAGGCAGATGTGTCTTGGGCTCAGTCCCACCCCCAGCAGGAAACTGCAGTTCTCATCCAAGTTGGGAAAGGACAAATGGCAGGCCATACCGAAGGGACATCCAGGACAGGACTGACTCTGGAATCTAAGTGTTGATCCTGACCCAGGACTCCAAAGAGCCTTGGGCTTTGAGAGAGCCCTCTGCAACTGGCACAGCACTCTCCCAAACAGCTCTCCCTCTGTTTTACAGATGAAGAAACTGGGGCTCAGGGAGGCTGCCTAGGAACCTGAGGAGTGTTGAGTGGTAGAACAGGCCCTTAAAGTCATTCATTCTATCATCCTATCCCATCCAGAGATACCTGCCATTAGCACTGCAGAGTACCCTGGGGGTTTCCTGAGGAAGGAAGGAATAGCAGGGACAGTGGCACAGAGCCTGCAGAGAAGCAGGGTTTATCACACACGCCAGTCCTCATGACAAACTTGGCTCTGGCATACAGGCCAAAGCTCTGTCAAGATGTTCTACAATGTAGTCAGACTAGCAGGGTACAGAACCTGTGGAGAACAGGTGCGTGGTTGGATGACATGTTTATGCTCTGTTGCTTTAAGGCCCTCCTGACAGCAAAGCTGTTTAGCAAGATGGCCTGTGTCCTGGCCAAGATGGACCGAGCAGTGTTCCCAAGTTTGGATGATGTTAGGGAGGCCCTGGGCAAGCAGGTGAGTCCAGCTCACTCTGGCCTGAGTCTACTGCGGTGTTTTCCAACTCAGCCACATCTCCTGGATAATGCTGCACACACGGGGACTTCATTCATGCCTATTCTTCATGCCCATGCAGTCACACCATGTGCAAAAGCACTCTAAGGACACCTAGTCACCAAGCGGCCCACTCAAGGCAAATTGAATTGAAATAAGGCAAATTACATATTACTTGCAACTGCTTGCTTTCCCTTAGAAACACCATGAAATGGTAGGATGGTTGTTTATATCAAACTTTTCTTTTATCTTCTCAGAAAGAACTCTGTGTTGTATACTTCACTCGGGGTGTCTAAGAAAAATACATGTCACCTGAGTTTACAACTGCTTCCGTTCACTTAGTAGGCACTATGAATTTAGGGCAATGGAAGTGAAATGGAAGGAACGGCTTGCTGAATCACAAGTTCCATTCATTTTCTAAGGAGGAAAACGGTTGAAAGTAGCTCCATCAAGGTTTGAAAGAAAAAGGCTTATCACCTGTGCTTGTAACTGCTTGCTTTCCGAAAGCAAACACTAAACGTCTAGCTATATACTTACTGGCCTCATTACTAAATGGCCTCATTTAGATGCATTCCCAAAGGGTTCAAACTATACTAGAGAATACAAGTTGCTGAATGTAGGCATTACAGTGATTTCATGTCCCCCTGCCTTCTCCCATTCCTGTCCTTCCTGGCCCACCACACACACACACACACATACACGCACGCACGCACGCACGCACACACATCATCGTCATCACCATCACCATCATCATCTTTAATTGTAAATAAGCCCAAGACTGCTGAAGCTCTCTTTCTTTCTCAAGTGAGACAGGGAACTGCTAATGACAGTAAATTAAAAACCAGAAAGAAGTCTTTTATAAGTCATGGAATTTGCTCTCACTTGCTTAAGTAACCTGCACAGCACATTTGGGCAGCACTCTGGTCTGTGGTGGAGAATACAGGTGGGGTTACTGACTCTGGGAAAAAAAAATTAGAAGTGCATTAAAGCAATGCCATTGTTAAAAGAGAAGCTGAACTCCAGGTGTGGTGGTGTGTGCCTTAATCCCAGCCCTTGGGAGGCAGATGCAAGCAGATCTCTGTGAGATCGAGGCCAGCCTAGTCCATATAGTGTCTTCCAGGTCAGCTGGAACTAGGGAGATCCTGTTAAACGAGAGGAAAGACAGAGAGAGAGAGAGAGAGAGAGAGAGAGAGAGAGAGAGAGAGAAGAGGAGAGGAGAGTTGAAAGTTTCCGTTCACATGAATTAACAAAGTATAAATGCAGCAAATGTTTCAAACTATTATGTTATCTTTATGATGAGAAAGCTCAGAAGACTAAGATAGGAAAAGTCACTGACATACAGGTTTTTGCCAGAGTTGTATCATCCCCTTGTGCCTTGATAGGCTATTGCAATTAGAGACAACTGGAGGTCCAGTATGGGTTGACCCCTAGCACTGCCAACTCAAATCACCCTGTATACCTTTGCCTCTTACCTGTGGACCCCTTCTTGTATATGCCATATCTAATACACCACCTCTACCAGGCTTCCAGTCACTACTTACCCACACGTGGACTGACCTACACAGTTTTACCCAGCCGGGTTAAGAATTTGGCCCAATTCGGAGCATCTATCAATGACCTGTGCAGAGCAGTCCCCACCTACTTTGCCCAGCAGCAGAAAGAAGGTATGTTCACAACTAGAGAGCCAAGACCTCGCATGACAAAAGATGGGTGATGAGTTCAGGTCCAGCTGCAGGAACAGTTGACTCCATTTCTTTTCTAGTGGAATAAAAAAGATCACATGACCTGGGATGTATTGCCCCTGTTGGCAGTTAGCTTTACCAGAAGGCCAAGGTCAGTCATCACCTCAGGGATTTGACGAGTGACACCTTCCCCACCACAGAGGAAGGCCCAAGGTTTGGAGACTTTGACCCAACTCTTTCTCAAACTTCCTGGAGCCAAATAATTATAGACCACACTGGCAAAGAAGCAGCTGGGAAGATGGCACTCCTGCTGGGGGTGTGATAGGATCAGTGGTGACCAGCCTAGGAACCAGCAGCTAAGACTCTAAGATCTGCCTATGAGTCCAGATGCAGTCAGTAGCCTGGCTATTGCTAATCATTTATACCTTAGTCTAAATTAACCCACAAGCCAAGGTTCTCCATAGCATGAGGGTCCAGAAGGAAAACAACCTGCTGGGCTAGAGGATGAAGAAACATAATCAAAGAGCAGTGAAAGAAATTGAAAAAGGAGATTACTGCAGGGGCTGATGGGAGGGACCAGGCTGATGGGTGGATCAGGGTCCATTTCAGTTCCTGTTCTTGCCAGTGGGGCTGACCTGACGGTCCACCTCATTCAAGTTCTACACAGAGGACTCAAAACAACCTTGTCTTTAAGTGCTTGCTTATTTTTCTTCTTGAAGGTACTGCCCTGGCAATGGACCCAAACTCCTGCTCTGAGGTCCAACTTCTGTCTTTCATGGGCCTGTCCATCTGTGGTGAGATCCCTGGGCTCTGACTTTCCAGAGCAGCCATGTGGAGAGTGGACATGCCTGGCCTGGACTCTGCCTGTGAGAAGCAGCTCTTTCCAGCTCTCTACCTTCTGCCTTTCCACCCAGTCCCCAGCCCTATGATCTGGGAAAGTGGGTACAGATATAGCTACTACCTTCTGGAGGGGAAAAAATAAAGTTTCTGTGTCACTGGTCTAGCAGATGGGTTCCCTTGTCCTCTCCCTGCATTGCTAGCCACGTGCAGCCCAGAACACCTGACAGTAAGGAATAAAGGATGCTCTACCAGAACCTCTCATTTCTGGGACTCTTTGGCAAATCCCTCGAGAATTTTGACAATAAATGAATAAACCAACTAAGACAGTATCTGGAGCCCAGGCTATGTGATCTGGTCTGAGGCTGCAACTTGTCTCAAAAAATGGGACTGAGAGTCTAAAAAGGTGGCTCAGCAGTTAAGAGCACTGGCTGCTCTTGTGAAGGCCCTGGGTTTGGTTCCCAGCACCCACATGGCAGCTAAAAATCATCCTAACTCCAGTTCCAGGGGATCCGATGCCCTCTCTGACCTCTGTGGGCATTGCACAATATGGGTACACTTACATATAGGCAGGCAGTACACTCATACACATAAAATTTTAAAATGATAAATAAATTTTTTTTTAAATTGGGACTGAGACTCCCAGAATGCCTCTTCCTTGTGCTGGCGCAACTGCACAGTGATATCCCTGAGAATCACCCCCGGCTTCTCTCTGGAGTATTAAGCCCTGAGCAGTGACCCCTAGGCAGGTGCCTCCATTGCAAACAAATACTGGTTCCTCATTCTGGAACTCATTGCCAGGACAGCTTTGTACCCATCACTAGCCCTTCTACCCCATGTGGTGTCACCTCTAACTTTTCCCACTTCTACTCCTTGCAACCTTGGGGATAAACTGCTGGCTCTCAGAGGTCAGGTCAGTGGGTGTGTTGGGTGTACTGGGACTCAGCTGCCTGGGGCAGCAGCTGCCCAGGGCTCCTCTCTGTCCACTGCATGTTCTTTGCTTCCCAGGGATGAGAAGGACCTATTATCTGCCTGGGATGAACTTCTGGTGTCGTCCTGCCACCCTCCTCACATCTGCACAACCTGTCAGGGTCCCTCCAGGGTGGGATGCATTTTCACAAGGCAGCCCACTGTCATCCCCAGGAAGAGACCCTACAGTAGTCCACAGTCACTGCCCCCTCAGCTCTGAGGAAGGACCGTGTTGCCTGAGTTTTCTAGCCTTCCCTTTCTTCCCACTGTGTTTTAAATGTTGAAACTAGCTCAACATTTGAGTTGAGGTATAGCGTGCAATGTCCAGATCTTAAGGGCACAGCCCAGTGCATTTTACACAGAGTCATTACTCAGATGAAGATATGGGACAGTCTCTACACCCCCAGAAAATTCACTTTGCATAAATACCCTGTCCACACCACTCAGCCCCAAAGGAATGATGCACCTGTGGAGGAGTCCTTGGCCAAGACTATCTCACCCTGCAAGACTTGAGGTGTGACCGGGCCAGGACTCCCCCAGTGTAGAGGTACTTCAGATCAAACAAAAGAGAAGAACCACTGACAATCAGGAGTAAAGGACAGAGAAGCTCACTACAGCGAAGCATCCTGCCCATGGGCCATGGCATCAAAAGAAGGCTGGGGATGGGCTGCACTATTAGAAGCAGTTTGAGAAGGAAGGACCCACTTTGCAGCCAGGGGCTCCTACCCCAGTGCTTAAATACACACGCAGGAATGTACTGACTACCTTAAAACAGGATAGACTCAAGATGCCCACCCTCCCCCCATCCCGCAAAAAATAAAATAAAACACTTGATTCCATCCCTGTGTGGTCATGAGCCCTTTGCACCTAACGTTGCTCCTGCTGTGGACATTTTGCTGATTGCTGAGACTGCCCTGGCTCTGTCTGGCTGAGGGAAGGAGCAGTAGCCCAAGAGGCTGGGCTTTGGGAACCTGACCTCAGTGGTTCTGTGAGTATCTGCAGTGAGAGCTGAAATGTCGAGAGCCTGGGGACTTGAGAGGGCAGAAGGGACAAGGACGTGCGAGCCCCGGCGCTGGAGGGTCCTGGAGCACAGAGCACATGAGCTCCTTGGGGCAACTCCAGCCCCATTTGGGGGCATCTGTAAGGAATGCTCACTGTGAATTAAGAGAACCAGTCTCAGTGGCATAACAGATAGATTGGTCTGGCTTGTGCTCCCCTGTGAAAACTCCATGGAATGGCAGAGCTCAGCATTCTCTTTCCTGACCTTGCCTTGCTAGGGTTGGTAGTTACCTCATAACCCCAAAATAGCTGAGGTAGCTCCTGACATCAGCATCTTATCCTCACTGAAGGAAAGAGAAGAGGAAAAGGCAAAGAACCTCCCTTCACGCCCCTGAGTCTGTCTCTCCTTATTGGTTCCTGAAGCCTCACTTAGCAGACTTCGGCCTGCTCCTCACTGTCTGGAGCCGTGGTCATCTGACTACTAACGGCCAATCACAGACTGAGGAAAGTGTGCTCCCCGTTTTTGGGGGGTTTTTTTCTTTTCTTTTTTTTTTTTTTTATAATGAACAGATTTATTTCTTCCAAGTCTAGAGGCTGAGAAGTTCAAGGTTGACGGGCCCATCTGATGAAGGTTTTCTTGCAGAATCATCTCAGTGGAAAGTAGGCAACCTAGAGGCTCACTAGAGAGAGAAAGTGAAGTACGGCATTCATCACCCTTCCAAGTCCCACCCCTCAGCCCTGCGGCATGGGGTAGTAAGTTTCTAGCACATAGCATTGGTGGACATAATCAAACCGTAGTAGGGATTTTGTAGTATTTATCATTATTATAATATTTGTAATTTACTTAAGAGAAACAAAACAGGCTTAGCGCGAGCTTTCTCTCCCTTGGTACTATTAACTATTTTGAGTCAGAAAATTCTTAACTATGGGGGCCACAGTGTGCGCCGCCGTAGGGCGCAGAACACAACCCTCCTTTCATCATGAATGCCAGCAGAACCTGCTCCTGCTGTGCCAAAGCCAATAGCTCTTCTCCAGGGATGGAGAGAAATCACAGCCAGTTAGAAACTGACTTAACTAATGATGATTAGCCCTAACCCAGTGCACTGAAGAATGCTTAGCTGCTACATAAACAAATCAGGGTTGTGATTTCAACAAAGGGGCTGGATAAGAGATGTATTAGGGCCCACATCTTCTAATCCTGGGATCTATGAATGAGCAAAACCCGTATTTAATTTCACCTCAGATGAGCAAATGAATGCATATAACACATAACGTTTCACTTGCCGAGAGGAGTGTAGCTCCGTAGGAAAGAAGGGTCCTACCTAGTCCCACCAGGCCCCTGCAAGGCCCTCTGGCACTCTCATCCTGCCTTCATAGCCTAGAGACTCTGCTAGCATCCTGGGTAACCTGGCTGCTCATCTAGCACCCCAGGGAGGGTATGTTTGGTCCAGGCTTGCTCCTCCTTCCTGATGGCTCAAGGTGGGCCTGGGGCTTGGGCACCCCACGAGTTAACAGGTACCTACTCTCCTTAGCCTTTAGAAGGGGCTTTTAGAAAATCTAACAGAGCCTCAGCCTCCATGGAGGGAGTGGGACAGCAAGGAGGAAAGTTAAGGGACTTAGAAACAGAGCTCATGGTTCTGCTTTCAAAATGGAACCAATATGGTTAGAATGGATGGAGATAGCATCTCTGAGCAGCAAACCCTAAAGGAGATCGTGAACCTCTGTTTTTCCTTCACCTGTCCACCCAGCCCAGCCTGCCCACGGACAGTGGGATTCTGTCCCATGTGAGCCAATTGGGGTCATCCCTAGAAACTGTATAGATTAAAACTAATTTGTAATCAGAACAAAAAGGAACCCCTGGCTCTGGTGATGAAGCTGAGAAGTTGTGGACCTGGTGGTGGGCAGTGGTGTTGGTTTTCTCCATGGAACAGTGAGGAAAGATGGAACAGGAAGAATCGATGGCTGAAGGGAATTAAAGGATGTGTTCTCAATGGGAGGAAGATGATCCCACACCTAGCACCTCCCTCCAAGGCTCAAGGACTTTTGTGGAAGAGATTGGCAGAAAGAATGTAAGAGCCAGAGGAAGGGATGGAGTGAACTCCGACCACTATGCCAGCAAGCTATAGTCACCCCTCCTTCCCAGGCTCATCCAGGAGTGGATCGGGGAGTCGGTTGCTCCTCCCACCCAATCAATCAACCTTAGCTACATGTGGGGGAGGGGCTAAGGGTATATAAGCTGAGAGTGCCATGAGGCACCTCTCTTGCCATTTTGTGCGGCTCTCAGGAAGTCACAGGATCTATATTTGAGTGTGGACTTTCCAGCACAGCCGTAAATGGGGGGGTGCACCCTCTTCTGTAAATAAACCACCACCCTATGCTCTGTTAGCAAGCCCAGTAAACTCATTAGGATTTTCCAAAAGCTAAATAAATAAATAAAAATAAAAGATGTGCCTTAAAGGCCCAGGAGTGGCCCTCAAAGCTGAGTAATTTGTCAGAAGTGAGAGTTTCCTTCATTAGAGCAGTGAAGTTGTTTGAAGTTGTTTGACAAGGGTATGCCAAGTCCACCTTCTCACCAGTCTAAGCCATTGCCACCTTGGCCCCTGATCAACCTTGCTGCTCTAAGCACTGGGACCACAAATGGGCAGCTGGTCCTCAGGCAGCTGCACAGAGAAATGGAGGTTTGTACCCTGCTAGTTAGGATGCTAGTGGCCCAACTGCATCATATATTATACACCTTACTTGAAATCCTTCTGTATATTGACATTAACATTGCTTGGTTTCCCTCTGTTGCCCATGAAAAGAACAAACACACAGATATCTGTAAATATATCATTTATGTGTTATAATTGCATCTCACAATTAGATGGGACATTGTGAAAGAATTTAGTTTGGCTTCTGAGTGCAACGGGCTGTATTTCTCTGAAAAGATGAGACCAGTCAGATGACCATCCTAAAAATGAATGCCTGTACAGATGGAGATGCCCAGAATCCCCAGGAGCCCAGCCTTGGCACAGGCTCCAGTGGCCACCTTACCTGGAAATAGAAGAAATTCAAAGAAATGGCATTAAAAATGTGTTGCAATTGCAGCAAACCAACGTTGTCAAAAGTGTCTTGGTTGAAGGGTTGTACTTCTAATATTACATTACCCAAGATTTTAGTTATATTTGTATTGCAAAGAATAATAAATAATATGTTGACTTTACAATTCCTGGAAGTTCTGACCTGTTCAGTGTTGGTGGGTGCTGTGAGGCTCTGTGCTGATGGAGTCCCTTGCATTTATCTAAATACTTAAGAGTACTTACTTTTTTCTGGTAAGTGCAGTGGATGTTAATACTTTTCTTTTTGTTTATCTCCCACCACACTGAGGAATTTCTTTTGTTAAGTTCATTATCCATTAGCTCCAGCTACTCTACCACAGCCAATATAAAGTCCAGCTGGCTTCATTCCCTGCCTGTCAGTGCACCCTGCCTTCTCTTTCTGAACCAATTCTGTGCTAGGTCCTGGAAGCATTTCTTAGTGATTTCTTCTTACCATCTTAAGATGCTATTTTAAAATATTTTATTTATTAATTTTTATTTTATTTTATGTGCATACGTGTATTGCCTGCATGTAGATATGTGCACCGTGTCGTGAAATGCCCGTGGAGGACAGAAGAGGCTGTTGGATACCCTGGAACTGGAGTTACAGACAGTTGTTAGCTACCATGTGGGTGCTGGGATTCGAACCCAGATCTTCTGCAAGAACAGCCAGTGTTCTTAACCGCTGAGCCATCTCTCCAGCCCCATGAGAAGATGCTATTTTAAAAGATGTGCTGACACCTTTTATTTATTTACTTATTTTTTTGAGACAGCTGTAGCTCCAGCTGGCCTGGGACTCACTATGTAGACCAGGCTGGCCTTGGACTCAGAAATCCGCCTACCTCTGCCTCCCAGGTGCTGGAATGCTCTGAAAGACTTGCCTATCTGAAGTACTTATGCATGGAAAAAAAAGAGAACACCATCATTTTCTTAGATGCCCAGGAGCCCCTCCCAACCCCATCCTCCGTTTTCACTCATGCACTTCTCCACTACACTGAGCCCCATGGAGGCAGAGCTTTGTTCATTTCTGTACTCCTAAAATCTAGCACAATCTCTGTATGTAGTAGGTGTTTAGTTTCTCAACTAAACTGACCAAGTCGTGTTTTCATTTATGCATGTTTCGTCAGCACCTGATGACTGCCTGGCATGAGAAGCTTCCAGAATATGCTTGGCTTCACTGGTACTCACTTGACTTCTTGACCACCTCCCCCTCATACAGGGGCACGTGCTTGCACAGATTTTTAATGGGTGACCCAAACAGAAACCAGTCGGCCTTCATGATCAGTGACTGCAGAGGGTTGTATCTGACCCAGGTGTATTCGCTGGAGTCCATGGTGGTCATAGTCTAGTTGACAGAACAAAGGAGGACAAGGTGGGATTGAAGCAAAGCCCACAGGCCTTATTCTAAATTGCAAATGGCTTTTTCTTTCCAATGATTTAATGGAAGGCAGGCAGGGTTTTCTATTTATCCTCTCTGACCACTCTACTTGCAGAAAAATCTCATTATTTACAACTGTATTTTGCTACAATGAAACCCACAAAAAGTAAATCTGCTGAAAGAGGCACAGATGGAAGCTATGAAGGGGGAAAAACCATGTCTAGCCTCAGTCCAGTGTGTGAGGATTCTTACTCTGTAGTATTACTTTCCTGCATCTTTGTGTTATTGAATACTATAAATTTACTAATTTTTCAACTAAACACTGTATCTTAGATCTCAGCTCTCTAAAGAAAGGTTCACCAGCCCTCTCTCCAGAGACAGTGGAATTCTAAGTTTATGTATTCAGAGTGGTATGATGAAAATTGAACTGAGATAAATTTTTGTCCCCCCACAAAAAATTATGTGAAGACATTTTGATAAGTTGAGCATCATTTCTACAGAGAGGTATTTTATGGTTCTTCCTTACTCTCATTCCTCTGTAGGCACCAGTAGGAGCGTAGGAGCAGTTTTCAGGCCCCAATTACCTGCTTCTCATATATGAGCCGCTGGAGCTTGTCCAGATCAGGGATGGCACTGTGGTCCATCTTAAGGATGTAACAGGCTCTTCGGGAGAGCAGCCGGGATGCAATGTAGCCCTGAGGGATTAAGAGAAGTTACTGACTACCTGATTTTCCAGGGTTCTGACTTGGTGAGACTGACACTGAGCCTTGGAGGAAAGGACTGAACACCCACTGGGCGAATGCCATCATTTGTCAACCTGCAATAACTCTGCCCACTCATCTTTGACGTAGAGTTTTTGTTTCTCCACTTGTCATTTGTATCCTTCGAAGCTGTGAACGTTTGTAGCTGTTCTTCAGGCTCTAGAATCAAAGTCTGCAACATGGAGTTTAAAGATTGAGAAGAAGCAGCTCTCTCTCTGCCTCTGCATTGACTTTATTCAGCCGGTTCCTCAATTCTAACTACAATATTAGAACTGTAACTACATAGTAACTACATATGTGGTTATTTAAATTTAAATTCAAGTCAGATGAAATTTTAAGTGTGTTTCGCCACACATTTGAGTGCTCAGTAACACAGATGGCTAAGGCTCTCCTTTTGGAAAATGCAGATTCAGAACATTTTCACCTGGCATGAAGTTCTCTTGGACTGTCCTGCTCTAGAACTCTCCTAGAGTTCTCCTAGGAGATGCCTCTGCTTGCCTGTATCTGCCATCCCCCATACATAGGCTTTACCTCTTCTTCCTCCTCTTCTCCCTTCTCCATCCTTTCTTTACCTCATACTCCATTCTGCTGGAGGGGTAGACTACATCTGAAGAGGCCAGGTGTGTAGAGATTTTGACATCAAAAAGGATCAAAGGCCATCAAATTTTGACCTTGAATGGAAATTTTCTTCACAAGTTTCACAGCTGTATTTAATAGAAACCCTTTTAGCTCCTATTTTTCAATTCTTCCAAATTCTTAGTTCCCAAAATTTAATAGGCCGAGACACCAAGGCCAGTGGTAGAGGAAGGGGCTTAAGGCAAATCCTCACCACTTCAGTTTGTTTCTTTGTTGAGACACTCTGGAATTTACATGAAATCTGCTTAAGAACAATTTTAATAGTACTGCCTGTTAAAGACTTCAAGGACTCTATCATTTAAAAAGTGCCATGGGAGCCGGGCATGGTAGCACATGTCTTTAATCCCAGCACTAGGGAGGCAGAGGCAGGTGAGTCTCTGTGAGTTCAAGGCCAGCCTGGTCTACATAGCAAATTCCAGGACAGCTGGGGCTACAGGGAGACCCTGTCTCAAAAAAGACCCCCCCCAAAAAAAAGTGCCATGGAATTCCCAACACCATAAGGGAGAGCACATGGTAGGAGGTTTCTAGAAGAAAAAGAAAAGATAATCAACTTTAAACATCTATTGTGATAGCTATGCTGCATAGCTATAGATACAGCATCCCTTAATTAGCCCCGTTGGAGAAACAAACTAGTAAATTAATCCAAGTAAGAAATGGGGTGGAGGACACAGTAAGCTTCCAGAGAAGTTCTGAGATGTATTGTTAATACGGCAACCAACATTTGGAAGTCTTTCTTACAAAAGGGATGATGTTGTTGGTCCTACATACATAACGTAAATGTGTGTTGCTCTGGATTTCTGTTAATTTGCAATTATTCTTTTTCTTCATAGTGGTTTTTGTCAGAAGCTATCACTTATTCATTTAACAATATCTTCTAGAATCTCAATGCTGAGGTCTACTTTGATCATTCTTCCAATTACTGTCTGAGCTTGTCGTGGGGCAACATCATCACTGCCAAACAAAATGTATATTTCTTCTTAGAAATGGCTTTATTTGTTTGCCTGATTATTTAAAAGAAAGGAAGAAGCGAGGAAAAATATAAGGAATTACAAAGATAGATTTTAGAATTTCAAAATATAGTAAATGACTTTCTTCCTGCTCTTTAGAAAATCAACCTTAATATATTTTTTGATTTATTTATTCTTTATTTTATGTGGATGAGTGTTATGTCTGCATGTGTATAAGTGCACCCATGTTATGCAGTGCCTGGGGAGGGTGATGGATTCCCCTGGAACTGGAGTTACAGACGGTTGTTAACCACCATGTGGGTGCTGGGAATTGAACCCGGCTCTTCTGCAAGAACAACCAGTGTTCGTAACTGATGAGCCAGCTCTCCAGCCCCTAGAAAACCAATCTCAAGGAACATAAAGTGCCTTTGCTGCTTACATGCTTATAGTCAAAAATCGTGGTGGAAGAGCACGACCCAGCATGGATGTTAACGGTGGCGATGTTTTTCTCGTTGTCAATGCTCACTGTCTCCTGAACACTGCCGCCACTGTTGTTTGAGCCGAAGATGTTAAAAACCTAGAATTGACAAAAGACACAGAAAGGTCTCTGGACAACAAATGCATTTGACAGTTCTTTCACCAAAATAAAGCCTTCTGGTTGCAACAAAGAGAATCCATGCTGAGACAGAACTCAAGGCTACTCTTCCTTGTTTGTTACATGAGAGAAGCTGGGGCACTGCACGAAGAATGCAAGTCTCCACAGTTTAGTGCAGAGGGTTCTTTGTGACGCTAGTGCAGGCAGAAAGAAATAACCACCCTATCGTTTCCATGACTGGATATCGCTGGGATTCCATCCCGAAGAAGGCATATGGACTCAACAGTCTTTCAGATGGGCTTTTATCCTTTCTTTTCTCTCCCCAGATCTCTAAGAAGCCAGCTCACCTCATCTCCATGAGATTGTGTCACAAGGATAGAAAGAACCACCAGAAATGCCACCTGGAAAACAGATCAGTCATATCAACTCCCTATGGGATAATCACTCATTGAAGGGGGTCAACAGGGGGCACTAGACACCTAGGGATGCTAGTTAACCATTATGGGTGGCAGAAATCTTCCAGTTCCCAACTCTTCAACATTATCACCTTCTAGATGGGGGGAGAACCCTGAGTAGGTGAACAGAGATGAAGGACTCATTTACTGTGGGAAAAACGTGGTAAGAGTCACACTGGGTTTGGATTAGTGGATAACTTAGGTCCTCTGGTAAAGAGAGAATACTTTAATTCCTTGAGGCTGAGGGAGTAGAACATTTAAAATGGATTCGTAACACAGACAGGCCTTTTTTGTTTGTTTGTTTTTGTTTTTTAAGAACTATGGAAGGAGGATGCTAGGAGCACTGTTAACCACTAACCTTTGAGGCTGACCTCAAGGAAGGTTCTGTTTGTCACCACAGCCCCATTTCAGTGGTGCCGTAGGGACAGCAGAGCCAGCAGTCCAGGAGCCCACACAGGGCAGCTCTGATGCTGTACTGCAGTTATTTAAGAGTCTTGCCTAACATTTTCTCCAGCAGTTTTCTTCCCTCTTTTTATCATCATAGTGAACTGTTCTATCATGTCAGGTTACTGATGGGAGGGAGCTCTGTGGGAAGGGCAGATGCTTCCAAGCACTGTCGTCAGTAAGACTTTTCTACTCAGAGTAGAGACCCCAACAATGACCTATGTGCAGACAGCAGACACCCCTCTACCCACTTACACAAAGCATTGTTTCCACCTAGGCCAGTTTGGAAACCTCAGATGCTCCTGCATATTCTATTTAATGGGTCTAGAATGGAAGTTTGGAGGACAAAGTAATCAACTAACCATCTTAGTGGGTGCCCAGAGACAACTCAAATTCCTTCCACCCCACACCATAGGGGTTATAAATTTGTACATTAGGGTCAAATCTCCTCCTGGAGAGACAGGAGGTCCCAGGAGAGAGAACTCTGCAGTGCAGTCTTGTAACCTTGGGGGCGACACTCAGCATGCTGCTTTCTCCCTTAGCAGCTGAATAAAAGCAAGAGGCAGAGACTGAGGGAGGACTTCCATTCTTTATGTGAGTACACAGGGTGAAACCATGGAAGTTGGGAATCTGGTGGGGGCAGGGATAGGGTGGTCACTGAAGGAACAGCTTGCCTCAAGAAAGAATTTAGACATGAGGACACTTTAATTGTTTAAAGTTCACCTAGATGCTCCCCTGTGCAGGGCCCAAGATAGAGAAACCACATCCTAAAGCCCACATTTACAGATTTGGGGAAATCACAGTCTCCTTGGTCCCCTCAGCAGTCCATGAGGGCAACAGTGCCTAGCTCACATGATTGGCACAACAAGCCGACAACCATCCATCCCTGAGAACAGCTTAGGGCTCAGAAAGGACTTGTTATGGGCATTATTAGTTTTTAAATTAAATTCTTTTTTAGGTGGCAAATGCAATTGTTCTAAAATGCCCACGTCCCAGAAAAAGCCATGAGAAGGAAATATTATTAAACATCCTCAAAATTAAATCTCTACATATGTCTATTTTTTTCTTTGTACATTTTAGTAATCTTAATAACAGATAATGGATACAACGCTCAACTTAGTAGTCAGCACTAAGTATTCCCACCAAAGATACTGCTAAGTCAATCACAGAAACAGGAAGTACGCAGTGTCTCCCTAAGGCCCCTAAAATCCAGGACATGGTGGATGGGAGGAGCTGCAAGAGTGTCAAGAGCGTAAAGGAGTACTCACGAGGGTCCTCATTTTGCCTGGAGAAAAGGTGCTGGGGTGAGTGCAGCTGCTTGCTGCAGTGTCCAGCCTTTATACTGGCTTTAGGATGTGGAAATCTCTTTCCCAAATGATCACATCGGAAGAGATCATGTCCATATCTCTGGCACACCCCAACAAACCCCCTTATCAGGACTGAGACCTAACCACATCTCTGGTATCAGGGAAATTTGTTAGTCAATTGTGAAAACTCCCCACTTGGTCACTCTGCAAATACTCCTTGCTTATCTGTCCAAGGAGCCCTTGAGATTGCACTTCCTGCCCTTTAATGATATTGCAAGGTGCTAGTTTTTCACACATAGACACAGACACATCCCTAGCACCTCCTTCCAAATGCAGAGTCCTTCTTTAAGACTCTAGCCGGACCCGACTCAGGACATCTTCATCACTGTCCAACTTGTTTCATTCCTCGACATCAGGATCAGACATGAGAATAAGGGTAATGGCTAGGAGCTCTGCTTGGAAAACGGACATTGTCATGACTGCCTTTCTTCTTCCTTTTAGAGCTGGTGACAGTCTGCAAAGAGTCATGAAATGCATGGTTTGACAAGCACTCTGCACAGTCACCAGCATTAACCAAGTGTTTGCATGCTTCCACTGCACCATGAAAACAGCAGTGTATCTCCACTTATCACCAGGGACATTGAGAAAGTCTCAGAGAGAGACAGAGGAGAAGAGAAAGGAGAGAGAAGAGAGGAGAGGGGAGAAGTCACTTATTTAGAGTACTTTTTCTAATGCCATGTTTAGAAACAGGGAGTTTGTATTATGTGGGGAAACAAACTCATAAGGCAAGGAAGGGTTTTTTAAAAATAACTTACAGAGAATTTCATACAAGGATATAAGGTGTTTTGATCAAATCCATGCTCACTCCCTCCCCTCCAACTCCTCCCTTATCTCCCTATCACTTTTTTCTGATAACTTCATGTACTCTTTCTTCTTTTTTTAAATTTTTAATAACTACATGATTAGAAGAAGCATTTCATTACAGCTTTAACATATTCAGTAACACACTCCAGAGCAAGAGTACATCTCTTTCACAAGTGGCTGTAAGTTTCTAGGTTCACAGTTGAATTAATACAGTTATACAATATTGAACTCAGTATAAGCCCTGTAAGACATAAAATTGAATGAGTTTTTAATCTTTAAAAAAGATCTCCATTTCATTTTAAAATATACTGTTTCTTACAGAAAGACTCATTGGTTTGCTAATAACACTTAGATGTTGACGCATACATCTCTAATCTGTATGTATCTGATTGTTACTAGTCATGGTCAGTTGCACTTGGATCCTTGGCACCTGTGTATGGCTATAAAGTCATTGGGTAGATTTCAGTGGTAATGTTTATCACCTCTACTAATTAACATGACGTAAATTTTTATGCTTCCTCCTCAATTATAACCCATCTTTTTAATTTGTTGATTTCTTTAACCCACTAGTTATTAAGAATATGTTTCTTGGCCTGGAGGGATGGCTCAGCGATTAAGACAGTGGCTGTTCTTTCAGAAGACTGGGGTTCAAATCCCAGCAGATAACAACTGTCTGTAACTCTAGTTCCAGGGGATCCGACGGCCTCGTCTGTCCTCTGTGGGCATTACACAACACGGGTGCACTTACCTACATGCAGGCAATACACATATATACATAAAAAAATAAAAATAAAAAATAAATGTGTGTGTGCGCCCGCACACGTGCGTGTGCATGCGTGCGTGTGTGTGTGTGTGTGTATGTGTGTGTTGGAGAGATGGCTCAGCAGTTAAGAGCACTGACTGCTCTTGCAGAGGACCCGGGTTCACTTCCCAGCACCCATATGGTGGCTAGAACCATCCTTAACTCCAGTTCAGGGGACTCTGAAGCCCTCTTCTGACCTCCGCAGCATTGAACAACACAGGTGCACTCACATAATGCAGGCAATACACTCATACACATAAAATAAAAAACAAATGAAATATTAAAATAAATATATACAAAAAGAATGTTTCTTAATATAAGAATTTTTCTCCTCCCTTCCTTCCTCTCTCACTCTCTCTCTCTTTCAAATCTCTCTCTCTCTCTTCCCACTTCTGCAACTTGCAAGTCTCTTGTGTTTACCAGACATTTATCGCTAATGTTCTACTCCAAGGTCACTCACGTGGCCCATTCCCTACTCCAAAGTGGCCATTCTGTATATCATCCCTATTAACAGCTCCTTCGGGCCTTCAGCATGCACATCTTTAAGACATCTTTGACTTTTTTGTTGTCTTTCCTCTGAGATGCCTCTTCTGTTTACATCTTTCATTCCCGCTCACCAGCTCAAACCCATTCCTTGTCCTCACTAGGCACATACCTCATAACAACTTAGAGTGCCTGCACTGGCTGCTGTAATGAGTGCTGCTTTAATCTCGGTGACTGGCAAATAAGCCCAGGTTTCTCATTTGCATATGTCCAGCATCAATGATAGATCTGTGTGATAGGCAGCTCTCCTCCAATCAATGATCTGTAAGTTTCAGCTTCCTCCTTTGGTGGCTTCCCCAGGTATGTGGTCTTATGGTCATCCTGGCTTTGTCCAGATAGCAAATGGAAGTGTGGAACAGTGGCATGAAGAAAACTCTTAAGTCTGTCACACTGAATGTGGCCACCTCTGCTCACGTCCTTTGGTAACTGGCAGTCACTTGGCCCCATCTAGATGTGAAGACATCAGAGCTGAGCTCTGGGCCTCAGGAAGACACATCTAGATCAAAAGCTACAAATGCCTTCCCTTTGTTCATCCTTAGCATCTCGGTTAAGCCACTTCCTGAAAACACCATCTTGCCTACATTTCTCTTTGTTCAAATTAAAAAAAAAAAAAAAATCCCCATTGAATATATAATAAAGTTAAGAGCTTGACATTTGGCTCACTCTAAAGTCTTCTTCCAAAGTAACTCTGAAAATGATATGAAAGTTCTCTCTCTTGCTCTCTTGTTCCCCTACCCCTTTATTATAGAAACCACGAACCGAACAGAATTCCTCTACCATGTGCTCCCATCATGATGACTCTGCCACTTACAGGCCCAAGCCAAAGAGCCAACTAACCATAGATTGAAATATCTAAAACAGTGAGCCAAAATTAACCCTCATCCTTTGAAGTGGATTGCCTCAAGTATTTTGTCACAGTAGCAGAAAACTAAGTAACACAGAAGGAAATATTCTAAATGAAGGAAAGAAGACAAGTCTGTAGGGGCAGAAAGAGGTTCATGTACTGTTGAGTGGCCACAAAGCCATGCCTTCCTGCATTTTCCCAGCATGTCATAGACTCACCACCAGTCATCCTGCTCCCCTCCTCCCACACCACATTTATCTTGTGGCCTTTCCTCTCCTCCTCTATTTTTCTTCTTCCTTTATTCCTAATGACTGCCCACCTAGTGACAATCACTGAAGAAAACAGTCTGATGCCTAGAACCAAGGATCTCTGCTCTTTGAGAATTTGTTGTCTCTCAGAAAATACAAATAACTATTAAAATAGTAAATGTGAATTCATAGGATTCAAATTGCATGATAATCCTAAACACAAATTGTACTGGCCGAATCTGTCAATTATGAACAAAGCCATATTTACAGCGATGATGCTTTCTGTACTATAGAAAATAGCTCATCTCTTTTGATGACTCCCTCACACTTATCTAGAAGACTCAGCGTCATGTGTAGACCATAAAATGTGTCTTGCCTTGGCCTCTACTCTGCCCTTGTTCCCCCATGGCAAGATAAATCATCCACTCTGTGTCATTTTCTGCCACATTCCAAACAAAGGCTTAGGGGAAATTCAACTCTAATTGGTTCTGGGATGGGAGAAGCTGGTATGGATTCTCTCTTAAGCAAAATTCATTCCAAATTATTTGGGGTGAGGGGACACCATGTTTCACTATGTAGCCCTGGCTGGCCTGGAACTCACTATGTGGACTAGGCTGGTCTTGAACTCACAGGGATCCACCTCCCAGGTGCTCAAATTAAAAGTGTGTGCCACCATGCCTGACTCAAATTAACTTTTAAATAAAGTGTTTATGTTGTAAAACAACTTGGTTTTTAAAAATAGAAGAAAGCACAAGTAAATTTTCATCTGATTTTGGACACACAAAAGGTTTTATAAGAGCGAAAGATTTTGAATAAATATTAAGAAAAGTCGAGCTACATGAGATGCAAAAGATTACTAATTGTGTTTTGTTGTTACTATTGTTGTGTTTGTTTGTTTGTTGGTTGGTTTTTTGAGACAGGGTCTCCCTTTAGCCCCAGCTGGCTGGAACTCCATAGGTAGACCAGGCTGATCTTGATCTCAGAGAGACCCACCTGCTTCTGGCTCTTAAATGCTGGGATTAAAGATGTATGCCACCACATACTAATGTTTTTAAAAGGTAAAATATAAAAGCAAATTACAAGCCAAAGATACTGTTAATACATCTGAGCAGCAAAGGGTAATATCTTCAACTTATGAAAGGGTTTCACAAATTCACAGGAAAACACTGAACACTGGCCTTTCATTAATGGGCAGAGAGTCTGAACAGAGAGGGAGAATGATAGGAAAAAGGGAAGGGCTGGGGTTCCAGCAAAGCCCTCTGTTTCCCCACTGTGGGCATCAGCACCCTCAGCTAGAAAAAAAGGCAGAGTCTCCTCAGAGAGTCTTTACACATGGACTAGTTCACATACAAAAATACCAGGAGCAGCTACCCACAGAGTGTTGGGGTAAGGTTTATCTAAGACCATTACCATTTATAATAAATAAAGCAATCTCATAAATAAAGGACCAGGAATTTAAGCAGCAGAATAAGGTTAAAATTAAGATATCTGGAAAAATCTTCAAGTATTTGCAAATTTTAAAAAATCACTCTAAATAAGTCATAAGTTTAAGATGAAATCATACAGAAATTGGAGAATATTTTGAATTGAGTGGACATAAAAATACACCCAAGTGGGCTGGAGAGTTGGTTCAGCAGTTAGGAGCACTGGCTACTCTTATAAAAGTCCCAGG